TGTTATTGCAAGCTCGGCCCACTCGGGCGCATCTCCTAAGACCGTTTGGTTTGGTTGCATTATTCCCTATTTAGGATTCATTCGTCATTTTCTGGCATGGGGCGGGTTGTAAAGAAAGTCTCGTAGGCTTGCTGAATCCCTTTTGGGAAGTGTGTCGATGTTGCCTCGTTAAAAACCTTGCCGACAAAAACCCGTTTCGGGATAAAAAGACCCGGTCAAAGGAAAAGAGTGTGAAGTTTGATCGAGGATAGTTGTGGGTTTTCGCAACCGGATGCCATATCAGTATTATCGTTTGAGCATCGATACATTCTAGTTACTCGGAAGCTGCTCGCCTTCCATGGTGCTAATCTTATAGGATCCTTTGTCATCTATCCCAAGGATACGGTACGACCCTTCCCAATTCTGGCCCAGCTTCCCTTCATTAGGATTTCTGGTGTTGAGAGTAACCTTCCTTAGGACCAAGTCTCCGATTCCGAAGTATCGGATATTCGTTCTTCTATTGTAGTATCTTTCGATTTTCTACTTTTGGGCAGCCATCCAAACCAGCAAGGCTTCCCGTCTTTCGTCGAGCAGCGCGAGGGCCGTTGCCATGTCTACGTTGTTCGGTCCCTCGTTATTCTGCTGGAATCTGGCGCTTGGTTCCCCAACCTCCACTGGTATCTGTGCTTCAGCGCCATATACTAGAAAGAAGGGTGTCTCCCCGGTGCTCGATTTTGGAGTTGTCCGATATGCCCACAACACCTCAGGCAACGTTTCTCTCCATTTTCCCTTGGCGATTTCCAACTTCTTTTTCAAGTTTTGAATGATGGTTTTGTTTGAAAACTCGGCTTGGCCATTTGCACACGGGTGGTACGGTGTTGACATGATTCTCTTGATTTTATTGTCTTGAACGAACTGTATTACCTTGCTCCCGATGAATTGCCTCCCGTTGTCACTTGTTATTTCGGATGGGATCCCAAACCGGCATATGATGTGTTCCCGTATAAAATTGATGACTTCCTTCTCTCTTATTTTCTCGAAGGCCTGCGCTTCCACCCATTTTTAGAAATAGTCAATCATAAATAAAATGAATCTGGCCTTACCTTGTACCATCAGCAAAGGGCCGACGATGTCCATCCCCAACTTCACGAACGACCATGGTGATAAAATGGAATGCAGATGTTCCCCGGGCTGGCGGATCATGGGAGCAAACCTTTGACACTTGTTGCATTTTTGGACGAATTCCCTGGCATCTTTTTCCATGTTGTCCCAATAGTAGCCCGCTCTAATCACCTTTCGGACTAAGGTATCGTCCCATGAGTGATTTCTGCAGGTTCCCTCATGGAACTCCCAGAGCACATAATCCATGTCGCCTGGTCCTAAACATATCGCCAGGGGGCCATCGAAAGTTCTCCTGTAGAGAACCCCATTTCCGTTGAGTGAGAACCGGACCGCTTTGGTTCGCAGGGCCCTCGATTCTTTTGGATCTGTGGGTAGCTTCCCATCCTTCAGATAATAGATGTATTTCTTTCTCTAATCCCATGTCAGGCTAGTGGAGTTAATTTCCGCGTGACCTTCCTCGACCGCAGACTTGAATAGTTAGACGATGGTTCCGGGGAGCAGGTCTTCCTCTTTAGCGGAAGATCCTAGGTTCGCAAGGGCATCAGCCTCGTTGTTTTGTTGTCGAGGTACATGGACTAAAGTCCATTCTTTGAAGCAACGTAATACGATTTCGATTTTGTCCAAATACCTTTGCATTTTGTCTTCTCGGGCTTCGTAGTTTCCGTTCACTTGGCTTACCACGAGGAGCGAGTCACACTTTGTCTCAATAGTCTCGGCTACAAAACTTTTGGCCAACTCTAAACCTGCAATCATAGCCTCATACTCGGCTTTATTGTTAGTTAGCTTTGTGGTTTTTATGGATTGCCTGGTTATGCCGCCGACGGGCGGCTTTATGACTACACTGACTTTGGATTCTCTTGCATTTGTGGCGCTATCTGTTAATAGGGTCCATACCGCAGAGGACGTGCTTGATTTTAATAAAAGCTCATTCTCTACCTCGGGCACGAGGGTCGGTGAGAAATCGGCCACGAAATCCGCAAGGATTTGGGACTTGATGGACGTCCGAGGTTGATACTCGATGTTATACCCTCTGAGTTCAATGGCCCACTTGACCAATAGACCCGATAACTCATGTTTATGCAGTACACTCCGGAGGGGATACATTGACAGGACACAGATACGGTGCCACTCAAAGTAAGGCTTCATCTTGCCCAAGGCGCTTATTAGTGAGAGAGCCAACTTTTCCAGATGGGGTGACGGGTTTCGGTGTCTCCCAAGGTTTTTCTCACACAATAAACAGGAAATTAGGTACCTTGATCTTCTTGGACCAGTACACCGCTTACTGCTATTTCGGACACGACCAGGTATATGTATAGCATTTTATCCTCCTTGGGTGTGTGCAGCAAAGGCGGGCTAGACAGGTACCGTTTCAGTTCTTCCAGGGCATGTTGGCATTTTGGAGTCCATTCAAAGTTATTCTTTCTTTTCAGTAGGGCAAAGAAATGGTGACTTTTATCTGATGACCTCGATATGAACCTGCCCAGGGCCACTATCCACCCTGTCAGCCGTTGAAAGGCCATTACGTTGTTCACCACCGTGATCTCTTCGATGGCCTTCATTTTGTCGGGATTGATTTTGATCCCCCCTGTTTGAGACCATGAAGCCCAGGAACTTGCCTGAGCCTACTCCGAAGGCGCACTTCTCAGGATTGAGCTTCATGTTGTACCTTCTAAGGATGTCGAAAGTTTCCTGCAAATGGGTCAGATGATCCTCTATGCGTAGGGATTTTACTAGCATATCATCAATATATACCTCCATTGATTTACCTACTTGGTGCTCGAACATTTTATTAACTAGGCGTTGGTATGTCACTCCCACATTTTTTAGCCCGAAGGGCATTACGTTATAGCAATACGTATCGTATTTCGTGATAAATGAGGTCTTTTCCCTGTCCTCAAGGTTCATCTGGATTTGATTGTACCCCGAGTAGGCATCGAAGAAAGTGAGGGTCTCATGGTCGGCCGTAGCATCGATCAGGCGATCGATGTTAGGCAACAGGAAGGAATCTTTGGGTCACGCTTTGTTCAAATCTTTATAGTCTACGCACATCATTAGCTTGTTCCCCTTTTTTGGAACTACCACTATATTAGCTAGCCATACTAGATACTTTACCTCTCTAATGGATCCGATTTTAAGAAGTTTCGCTACTTCCTCTTTGATAATGCATATTTTACCTCGAACTGCGGCCTTCTCTTTTGCTTCATGGGTTTGAATTTGGGGTCAATGCTTAGTTTATGGGAGCTTATTTCTGGTGGGATACTTTTCATATCTAAGTGTGACCAAGCGAAACAGTCGATATTATTACTAAGGAATTGAATAAATTAATCACGTCCAAATCCACTACTAAAAAGTAAATGGACACGGTCGCATGCAATATAATTTACCCAACTATGAGTCGGGGTCGATTCCCACAGAGAACAATAAGTAGGCGACTAGGAATGTAAGAAAATAATCACTTATCGCGCAATGCCAAGCACTTAGAATTTGGTTTGAACACTTTGAGGTATATGTTCCTACACTCAATATACAACCTTACCAATTTCTACTTTGACACCACACCCCCAACTTAGGCTTTTAGCCTTATTCTCAATGTTCAAGGTGGGATGGGTTCAAAAGAGGGAATTATTTTACAAAAGGGGAAAGGTATGTAATGAGGTGGCCAAGGAAAAGATATAATAACCCAACAAGGTTGGGGTCGAATCCCACAGGGAATAGGTGTGAAAATGTTACTTGATTAGTGTGTTGCTCGACTAAAGTCATAGTTCTATCCAGTTAACGGCAATAAGAGTATGGATTAATGGTTACAAGAGTATAAGTTGAGTTTGATTTGAAGTAACTACTAGTTGAAATATTGAGAATGTAAATAATTTGATTAAAAAACCAAGGTTGTGTCCCATTTAATGAAGTGTAATGCTATCGGTGTTAATATGATATATTTCTAATGGAAGGTCCTTTTGATATGCAAATGATGTCTAAATGTCTACCCAATATTTTCCAATAGTTGGGTAGTATTTCCTCATTATGATTTTTTCAAAATATAAAAGAGTTGCAATTAAGAACAATCATTATATGCCAAATAAAACCCACTTATTCCTAAGCGATTCTATTAAGCAAGGTTTAAAGCCTTGAGTCTTTGATATTTACTTCTTCCAAATTCCAATCCACATTCCCAAGCAAAACAAGAATTTAATGGCACTTGTTAATTTTTACAACCACCACCAATAAATGAAAAATGAGAAGTAAATAAATATCAACCAACCATTATATACATATTCAATGTAAAACACCCATTAACATAACACCCATTTAGGGTCCACAACCTTGGTATTTAAAGTTTGCTACACATGCTAAAATACAAAAAGAAGACACTATTTGATGCAATAAAGCTTACAAAGTGAAAGATTCTTGACCCAAAAGTTTCCAAAAGAGAGGAATACTAATGCCTTGTATTGTAGCTTCAAAGTCAGACCAGATGAGCCCACAAAATCACAATAAATCTATTTATAGAGGGACAAAAATCGAGATAGAAAACGGACAAAAATGCCCTTTTAGGTCAAGTATGCGACCGCATTTCTATCGCAAATCAGACATGCGGTGCGCATTCTCTTCATGCCCATCGCACTTCAAAACCCTAGTTTCCAGTCCATCGTCGCATTGTGGTTTTGTGGACTGCATTGCAGCTATGTGATCACATTCTGCGTCGTATTTTCCACTACCAGCACTTCTCTTCATGAGTTTGCGGTCCATTATTGTCAAGCCCCGAACCTGGGAGCGAGACTGGCACTCAGTGCCTCAACTATCCTTGCGCATCACCTGTGACTCAGAGACTTTGAACAAGTAATGTCATAATTTTGGACATGGCTTGCAAGAAAATGTGCGATGTAAAATATAAAACTAAATAGAGACTAATACTGACTAACCATCAACATAAGGCTGGGCCGACAAGGCCGTCACATTTACTACAACTGACAAGCTAACAAAATATACGTACAGGGCCTACCAGACCAACATACGGTATTAACTGACACGACATATCTACAAGCCTCTAATAATAGATGTACTATGATCGGAACAGGGCCCCGACCTACCCATAACCTATCTACATATATACACAAGATGCACACCACACTGCTAGACCCGGTAACTCCGAAAGAAGGGGAGCTTACTGATAAAGCTGATCTCGGGCAACACCTACTGAGGAGGTCTACCCGTCTGTCTGTCTGACCCTGCATACATAAAATGCAGCGTCCCCAGAAAGGGACGTCCGTACGAAATAATGTACCGAGTATGTACGGCAATATACTGAAACTAAAACTGAAATTGAATTGATAATATAACAACTGAGAACAACCGGGAGCCAAAGAAAACTCGAAGATATGCTCATCTGATAATACTGACTCAATTCTCTCAATATAGTAAGTAAAATAGTTGTCCGACCCTATAAGGCTCGGTATACATATATATCTGCTCTGCCTTAGTAGGCTCGCTCATAAGCGCTCGACCATACTAGGCTCTGTATCTCGATCAACTGGGCTCGCCCATATGCGCTCGGCCACAATAGGATCGTCATATAACTTACCATCTGATCAGAGGTTGCCCAATAGGAGCCTGCCCATCGATTATAGCTCGATGGTAATAAAAATACTTTTAATACTGTATATATGTAACTTCTCTGCTCTGTTGACTAATAGAAGGAAATACTCAAATGAATCTGAAGTCCTGTCAATGTGAATGTCATCGTTGTAGCTGTTACTAAAGTCTGTTGGAATCTAGACAAGGGCAAGTATATAACAAAAATAGCTGTTGAAGTACATTTACCTACATACTTGCGGACTTAGGAAATTATTAATTATAGTGACTAAGTGAGAAAGTAACTTTAAGTTGTTCCAAAAACTTTATACACGACAATAACAATATAAATCATATGACTAAGTGAGAAAGTAACTTTAAGTTGTTCCAAAAACTTTATACACGACAATAACAATATAAATCATATGACTAAGTGAGAAAGTAACTTTAAGTTGTTCCAAAAACTTTATACACGACAATAACAATATAAATCATATGACTAAGTGAGAAAGTAACTTTAAGTTGTTCCAAAAACTTTATACACGACAATAACAATATAAATCATATGACTAAGTGAGAAAGTAACTTTAAGTTGTTCCAAAAACTTTATACACGACAATAACAATATAAATCATATGACTAAGTGAGAAAGTAACTTTAAGTTGTTCCAAAAACTTTATACACGACAATAACAATATAAATCATATGACTAAGTGAGAAAGTAACTTTAAGTTGTTCCAAAAACTTTATACACGACAATAACAATATAAATCATATGACTAAGTGAGAAAGCAACTTTAAGTTGTTCCAAAAACTTTATAGACAACAACAACAATATAAATCATAACCGGGCCAACAAATATTATATCTTGGAGGAACTACTTATATATGAGTCATAGAGTGGATAGCTATAAAATTTTGAGATTTTTATTGTCTTTTAAAAAGTTCCTTCCACTCTTTTAAAAGTGATGTGCGTTTTTCCAGTAAGTAAATGGAGCACTGCACAAATTGTTTTAATTCATTATTGGAAGTGGAAAAATACTATAATTTATGAGAGTAAGATAATGTATATAAATTTGGAAGTATGAACTTCTCTTTATGTCGCATTATCAAACTCATGTAATTACAAGATCATGCCAAAATGAAGGAAGGGCTTAGCCTTAACATACCTGTTTCTTGAATTATTTGAATGAATCTGCTTTCGCGAAATTTAAACTGAATTTACTTGAAATTGAAACGAACTTGACTTGGTTTTGAAATGAAGAAAACGTTTTCTTGTGGGAGCTTGTCATTCTGTTGGTGGTTGTTCATGAGAAATGGAAAATTTGCTTTGTTTAAAGCTTGAATTGACTACGTGGGGCCTAACATTTTTAAGACCAAGAAGCTACGTATTAAATTCAATCAATTCCTTAGGTAGCCACCTATTCCAACATGACCATGAGTCATTGTTTGGAAAAGGATTGGCTGCCACGTTCTTTTTGGGTGTAGTCTTATTAATTTATCCACTTATTAGTTAATCGGGTAATATTTCGTTATCCGATAATTAATCTATTACCCGCATAATTTAAGAATTATCACAATTACTTAAAATTCTAATTATTTTATTATTTTTTTTTAAAATACTTCATATTTACTTTATATATTATACTACCATGGTCATATGGTACCTTGCATGGTACTAGTTTATAATTATCGGGTATTATCGCTTAACCCGTATTTTATCCCAAATTGGCAACTTTCAACGAAACTCCTTTTCCCTAATTCGTGCATCCTTTATCCTTCATGGAACTTATTTTTTCCGCTTGTTATAAATAGCTTAAGTACATCAAGATGATCTCATCCCCGTGTCTACGTCGGTTAACTAAAAGCGAAATTGGAATGTACGAAAATGCGAGATGTAACATCCTTTCCCCCTTAGAAACATTCGTCCTCGAATGTTCAACTCCCCGTGATCTATATAACTTTGGCAAGATCATCTCTGTAAAAACACCACTATCAACTCTCCCCGTAGGAGCTTAATAATCTAACGACATTCAGGACCATAATTATGAATAACGATGACAGCCTCTCATGACCCACGTAAGAATTTATACACATACCTTATGATTATGATGTCTCGGTTGAATCCTTTTCTGTAGGAGGAAATAAGTAGGGATATTTATACTTCATGCTTTCCTCGGCTTCCCAAGTCATTTCTTCCACATTATTGTTTCTCCAAAGTACTTTCGCGGAGGCTACCTCCTTATTCCGCAGCTTGCGGATTTGTCGGTCTAGGATGGCAATCGGAACTTCCTCGTATGATAAGTTCTCTGTAGTTTGTACATCATCCGTGGGTACTACTCAGTTAGGATCGCCAATGCACCTCCGTAACATAGATACGTGAAAAACCGGATGAACAGACTCCAATTCCAAGGGCAATTTTAACTCGTAAGCTACTTGGCCCACTCTACGAATGATCTTATAAAGCCCAATATACCGTGGGCTAAGCTTGCCTCTCTTGCCAAATCTTATTACACCTTTCATAGGTGACACCTTTAAGAATACCCAGTCATTAACCTCGTACTCTAAATCTTGTCGCCGCACGTCAGAATATGACTTCTGTCGGCTATGAGCTGTCAACAGTCGCTCCCGGATAAGCTTTACTTTTTCTATGGCCTGTTGAACCAGGTCTGGCCCATATAACCCGAATTCTCCAACATCGAACCACCCTATTGGAGATCTGCACCTGCACCTATACAAAGCCTCGTACGGAGCCATCTGTATACTGGAGTGGTAACTGTTATTATATGAAAACTCGATAAGAGGTAGATGTTCATCCCAACTTCTATTNACCCATATAAAGCCTCGTACGGAGCCATATGGATACTGGAGTGGTAACTGTTATTATATGAAAACTCGATAAGAGGTAGATGTTCATCCCAACTTCTATTAAAATCCAGCACACATGATCGCAACATGTCCTCGAGCGTCTGAATCGTGCGCTCGACTTGTCCAATTGTTTGTGGATGAAAAACTGTGCTGAGATTCACCTGAGTTCCTAGACCTTTCTGAAATGACCTCCAAAAATGTGTTGTAAACTGGGCCCCACGGCCAGATATAATGGATATGGGTACTCCGTGTAGTCGTAATATCTCCTTAATATATAATTTTGCGTAATCCTCTACTGTATAGGTAGATCTGACCGGTAGGAAATGAGCTGATTTCGTGAGCCTATCGGCTATCACCCATATAGAATCAAGCTTATGATGGGAATGAGGTAAACCTGTGATAAAGTCCATGTTAATCGCCTCCCATTTCCATGTCGGGATCTCTATAGTCTGCATTAGCCCTCCGGGCTTCTGGTGCTCTATTTTCACCTACTGGCAACTAGGGCATTGAGCGACATACTCGGCAATGTTCTTTTTCATATCGTTCCACCAATACACATTCTTAATGTCATGATACATCTTTGTCGACCTAGGGTGAATAGAATACCATGAATAATGTGCTTCTGACATAATCCTGTCCAGTGGCCCTGCTACCTCTAGAACACACAAACGACCCTTGTATCTGAGAACCCCGTCTCCTTTGAGTTCTAGCAACGGCTTCTTCTGTTGTGGAACCCGCTCTCTCAACTTGACTAACTCTGGATCCTCGTATTGCCTCTCCTTGACTTCAGCTATGAGAGATGATTTTGCAGTATTTTGGAGTACAACTCCTCCATTGCCACAGTCCACTAATCGAACCCCCAAACAAGCCAATTCATGAATCTCTCTTGTCAATTGTCTTTTCTCGGCCTCTACATGTGTTAAGCTACCCATAGATCGGCGACTTAAAGTATCTGCTACAACATTAGCTTTCCCTGGATGGTAGAGAATGTTAAAATCGTAGTCTTTCAATAATTCAAGCCATCGTCTTTGTGGCAAATTCAACTCTTTTTGCTTGAGGATATATTGCAGGCTCTTATGATCTGTGAATATATCAACATGCACACCATATAAATAATGCCGCCATATCTTAAGTGCATGAACAACCACAGCTAACTTGAGGTCATGGGTTGGATAATTCCGCTCATGCTTCCTTAACTGCCTTGAAGCATATGCAATTACTTTTCCATGTTGCATTAGGACACATCCTAACCCGACACCTGAGGCATCACAATACATGGCATAACCATCTAGACCATCTAGAAGTGCCAGAACTGGCACTGAGGTCAATCTGTTCTTAAGATTTTGGAAACTCTGCTCACAGGCCTCTGTCCACTGAAACTTAGTCGCTTTCTGCGTCAGTTTTGTTAATGGTGCTGAAAGAGAAGAAAACCCCTCTACGAACCTCCGATAATATTCTGCTAAGCCTAGAAAGCTATGAATCTCTGTCGGAGTGGTAGGTCTAGGCCAGGATTTCACAGCCTCAATCTTCTGAGTATCTACCTTTATACCTCCGTCGGATACAATGTGCCCCAAGAATGCTACGGACTTTAGCCAGAATTCACACTTAGAAAACTTAGCATACAATTTATTATCGCGGAGGGTCTGGAGTACTGCTCGTAGGTGATCTACATGCTCATCCTCTGAACATGAATAAACCAGAATATCATCAATAAAGACTATCACGAACAGATCTAAATATGGTCGGAATAGGCTATTCATCAAGTCCATAAATATGGCAGGTGCATTCGTCAACCCGAAGGACATAACAAGAAACTCAAAGTGTCCATATAGGGTCCTGAAGGCGGTCTTGGGGATATCTTCCTCCCGAACTCTAACCTGGTGGTACCCCGACCTCAAATCTATCTTTGAAAAGCATCTAGATCCCTGCAACTGATCAAACAAGCATCTATCCTTTGAAAAGCATCTAGTTACCATGTTCAGTTGCCTATAGTCGATACACATCCTTAGCGATCCATCCTTTTTTCGTACAAACAATACCGGTGCACCCCAAGGTGAGGTACTAGGCCT